GGCGGGCCCGACCCGGCCCGTTGATAATGTGAATATTTACATTAACATGTTAACATTCACATTGATAAGAGTGTAAAATTGGGCCGCAGCCCGTGGGCGGCCCGAAACCCGACCACAGCTCGAGGCGGGCTTGGCCCAACCCGTGTAAATGTGAATATTCACATTGACATGTTAACATTAACATTGATAGGAGTGTAAAATTTGCCCGCTGCCCGAAGCTTTCTCGCGGCCTGGGGTAGGCCCGGCCCGGCCCGTTGACAATGTGAATATTCACATTGACATGTTAAAATGCACATTGATAGGAATGTAGAATTGGCCTGCGGCCCGTGAGCTGCACGAAGCCCACCTACGGCCTGGGGCAGGCTTGTTTCGGTCCGGGCCCGAGCATGTCCGAGACCCTAGGTTAGGGCCTAGGTCATCACTTTGAAGCCCGGCCCAGCCCATTAGCCCACATAAGGCCCATTCAAGGCTCGGTCCGAGGCCCGGCCCGCGCCGAGGCCTAGTGTCTTTTTTTTGTGAAAAATAATAAAATTTTGGTAGAAAAAATTAAAAAGAATTAAAAAAAAATGGCCAGGCCCGCCCCGGGCCGCCCACGGGTCGTGGGCGGGTTTCGGGCAGCCACGAGGCACAGGCTAATTTTACACTCCTATCAATGTGAATGTTAACATGTCAATGTGAATATTCACATTGTCAACGGGCCGGGCCGAGCCCGCCCTAGGTCGCTGGCCAATTTTATACTCTTATCAATGTGAATGTTAACATGTCAATGTGAAAATTCACATTGTCAACAGGCCGGGCTGGGCCTGTCTCGGGCCGTCCATGGGCCATGGGCGGGTTTCGGGCAGCCATGAGGCGCGGGCTAATTTTACACTCCTATCAATGTGAATATTAACATGTCAATGTGGATATTCACATTGTCAACGGGCCGGGCTGGGCCGGGCTTGCCTCGGGCCGCGGGTGGGCTTTTGACCGCCCATGGACCGCGTGCCAATTTTATACTCTTATCAATGTGAATGTTAACATGTCAATGTGAATATTCACATTGTCAACGGCCGGACCGGGCCCGCCCCGAGTCGTCCATGGGCCACGGGCAGGTTTCGCTCTGCCACGGGACGCGAGCTAATTTTACACTCCTATTAATGTGAATGTTAACATGTCAATGTGAATATTCACATTGTCAATGGGCCGGGCCTGCCCCGGCCGGATTTGAATTTTTCCGGGCACCCACGAGGATCGACATGGGCTAGGCCCCTACACATTGACGATATGAACATTCACATTGACGGTGTAAACGTTCACATTACGGGTATTTTGATAATTATGTCACTCATAGGACTTATTGAAACATAAGAAAATAATGTGAACTAAATGGAACATAAGTAGATGAAAATGGTATTTTGGTCTTCTTATCTCAAATAGGACCTAATGAAATAGTTAAAAAGAATATAGGTTGGATGGAATAAAACTTTTAGAAAGTTGATTTATCAAAAAAGCTCCATTGACACAAATTAGAAAACTTCAATAAATACATAACTTTTTTTTTTTTTTTAAAGAAAAGACTTTTCAATTGTTGTCAAGTTTCTATTCAAATTTTATTTTATTTTATTTTTTTGTATCTCTTGAGTTTTACTTATCTTTAATTGCAAAATAAATAAATAAAAATAAATTAAATATTTTAAATCACTCTTTAATTTAAATTATTAAATTTCTTTCAATTTAATCATTATTTCTACTATCAAATTGAGTGTTTACTTTACTGTGATATAAAATTAAGAAAAATTAGTTTAAAGTCTCTCTCCCATTTTTAGTAATGAAAGAGATACACAATATTATTTTATAATGTCTAAAGATCCTCAATCCCACACTCATATATCATAGAGAAATTTGACTCTCTCAAATCAAACCTCATATCTCTCTCTCTCTCTCTAGGAATCTTCATATAACTCCTTCCTAGTGCTTTCATCATCTTCACAACTAGCTTCCCTCCATTGAATGTGCTGCGGCCCAAACCACAAACGATAGATTTCAGTGTTAGGATAAAGCATCCACCGCAACAGTAATGAAGGACGAGCAGAATTGCCGCGTGGAAAATATAAGTTTGGAAACTTGGATCAAATGTTGTCTAGTCTCCAGTGGAAACACCTCGTCTGGATTTCTTAGGGAATCATTGTGACTTCCATTCACCTTCCATGTGTGTTTGTATGTATGAATATATATATATATATATATATCCACAATTTTTGGGGGATTTGGATTTGAGAATAAGATAATATAAGAATTGATTATGGATTCCTAAGGAACTTATTGTTTCTATTTTGTTTCTTGTCATCCATATATGTAGAGTATAGCGGTAGATTGGACTTGGATTTACTTAAAGCTAGATGGTTGTTGTTGTTGAATGCAGAGAAAGTGGTAAACAAATCAGAGAAAATTATAAGTAAATAACAGAGAATTTCTCTGGTTTGGATCAGAGAAATTCTTTGGATTGAATTTTCTCTGGATCGATTTGAGGGACCTTAGACATTATGAAAATATAAAATGTCATTTATGCTATAAACTCTTAATATCATGGATCCTAAAAAAAATCCCCATAAAATTATCAAATATATTTATTTAAGTTACATTTTTATAATGTGATAGGGTAAAAATTATTATTTTTTGATTACCTACAATGCAACAATTAAATATTTTTAAAATACTCGTGATGGCTAACTCAAATAGTAATTCCATAGGTATATATAGGGTTGTGTATAGAGTTATCCGAATCGCATAACTCGAATCGATCCGCATACAAATAGGCAGTTTCGTAGACACAAAGCAGGCAGATGCAGTTTGGAATATGGGATTATTGCGGGTTGTGGGTTTTACCCACACCCACAAGAATCCACCTGCACTTAGACTTTATTTTATTTATTTTTTATGATCGAATTTGCGAGTTTGCAAATATTTTTGTTTTATTCAATGGGTTTGAATTGGATGAAGTTTGACAACAATTTATTGTTATTTTATTATTGCATTTTGAATAAATGTAAAAGTTAATGAAGAATTACTTTTAGGTAAGTTTAAGATTTTGAATGATTTTATTTTAATTGTGTTATTGGGCAGTGAATGATTTTGATAATTTAGTTTAGGATTTTGAATGATTTGCTTGTATTCGGAATTGATTTTGCTGCGTTTTTAATTTTATAAGTTTTAATTCATTAATTATTAATATTGAGCATTTAGAAAATAGCCCAAAACAAATATTTACAAAACGGAAAAAAAAAAAGGCTCAAAAATAAATTTTTAAATAAAAAAGTTCAACCCGCAAACCATTCGTACATCCGCAAATCCTATTTGTATAAATCACAACTCACACTGCAGACAATTATGAGTTCAATTTTTCTCAAACCGCACATATACAGCCGGATCTAAATCAGAAATGAAATCGTCCTAAGTCGAACCGCATGCACTCCTAAATATATATGCCACTAACAGGTTATAGGTTCGAGTCTCTATTTCGACCTGAGACTATCATGTGGTTTTATTTTACCTCGGGTAATGACGCTATGTCCGGATTCCTTGTTATCATTATTTTTATGTCAATGTACATATAGGCGGTACACATAAACAATTCAATTTAAAATAATCAAATATATTTATTTAAGTTATAATTTTATAACAAAATAGAATTAAGATTATTCTAGATCATCGCATACATCAAAAATACATTACTTCTATATAAATATACACATAAATAATTTTGGGATAATTATAAAAAAAGTTCTCAAGGTTTTAACCTTATAACAAAATAAACTCTGAGTTTTCAATTTTTGTCAATTTAAATTTAATTTTTTTTATTTATTTTCAATTTAAACCATTCACCTATTTTCATTAAGTAGGAAGAAGAATATTTTATTCATTAAACTCAATACAGATACATAAAATGTCTAAAATATATTTTTCATTGAGTTTAATGCTGAAATTCTTCTTTCTTTCATTAATTTTACTTAATAGAAATGGACAAATAATTTAAATTAAAAATAAATTAAAAATTTAGGATTTAAATTGACAAAATAAAAATTTTAAGATTTATTTTGTTATAAGACTCAAATTTTAAAAGTTTTTTTTAATAATTGTCCTAATAATTTTTTAACATTTATGAAATATTATTTTAATGTTTTTTATCTTGTGCATTGTACAAGTTAACTACTAGTTTACACATATAAAATCAAACCACAAGATGGGATCACCAGAGTGTTTACACTCGATGTTCTCATCATCAATAAAGGATAAATTACAAATATTTTTTCTGAGATTTATTGAAATTACAAATTATTTATTGTGATTTTAGAAATTACATTATGCTCTATAAGGGTTTTAATTTCACAACAAATATGTCATTTTATTAATAAATTATCAAGTTAATTAACAGTTTTTAATAACGTTAAAATTTTATTTCAATTAATAATTCAGACAATTTTATTATTGTATAGGTGAACAATTATAAATTTCACTTTTTCAATTAATTCTGTTAAATAAAAAATTCTAACAGAGATGTATTTGTAATTTTCTAAACCACATGGGACAATTGATATTTTAAGTAAACCTCAATGATGTATTTGTAATCAACCCTTTATTTGGAGATAGATTTTATTAAATCAATATGTGTATTCTTCTCCTTCTTCTTCTTCTTTTTATTGTTTTTAATTCTATCCGTAACCAATACCTTGATGTTGAAGGAAAGAAGAAGAGGGCCCAAAGACCTCAAATCCAAATTGACGAGAGGGCTTGGTGTGGTCTTTTGAAGTTGACTTGACTTACTTTTCTCTCGTTGAATATCTGGAAAAGAAAGTATTATTTGGATGGTTAAATTTATTATGAGTATTATTTTAATGATTTGAATAATTTATTTTGTAAAATTTTTTATATATATTATTGACACAAAAAATAAAATCGATCTAATAATTTTAATTTATCACATTTATCTCTAAATAAATAAATAAATGTAACATGCTCAATTTATCATCAAATAATTTGATTTATTTATTGTATTTTATTCGGAAGAGTTTACATAAAACGCATTCTCACTCCCTCTCCAAATGGCTAAAAACTTACATATTGAAACATGACTCTTAAACACAACATCATGCAGACATTATTAATATTTATGATCACATATATTAATCGATTATGTGGGTTCCTTCTCATGGAGTGGTCACACCTGCATAAAGAAAATACTTAATTAGTGAGTCTATCATATATATATATATACATCAAGAGTAATGCTATATAAATATAATTATATAATTATATTAAAATTTATTATTTAAAAAAAAACTATGCATCAAGATATGTTTGTTAGAAAAAAAAATTAAAGTTATCACCATGTTATTTTTGTGAAAATTTATGCATAAAATTTTAGTAAGAATGTAATTTTCCACAAAGAATATATATTTTCCGTAATGCATATAAGATTTATTATATTTTTAGTCTCCTAATTATATTTTTAGTCTCCAAATTATGTTATTGTGTCATTTTGATTAAAAAATACTTGATGACTCGAATTTGTGTAGTCTGAATAACTCGAATATATCAAAACGACATCGTTTTATCTCCAAAACGATGTCGTTTTAAGACATTCGAAAGATTCGGGTCATGAAAATTCGAGCTACTAAGCATTATTGACTTTGATTATCAATGTTTGAATTGTATCAATTTAATTCCAACTTAACTTTGTCATCAGGTTCTGATAAAATTAAGAATAAATGTAAAAAATTACATAAAATTCACATTTTTAGTATTTAAAATATGTAATATGTGTCATTAATGTGAAAATACACTTGAAAAAATTACATTTTAAAAATATGGGGTTTGTGTGATTTTAGTTTCTAAAATTGCACATTTACTCTTATGTGCAATGGCTGCTATTGCTGGCAACGATGCATCTACGGAAAAAATGTTTTTTTTATTTCTTTTACCAAATTCATTTAAAGTTTTTTTAGAAAAAATTTCTAAAACATATTTCCGAAAATCAAACCAAAATGGCAATATTTTTTGAAAGTGTTGAGGTAAGCAATATTCTTTGCAGAAGTCGGAGATAACCCCATAATCTTCCCCTAATCTATACTATATATTAAGTCAAAGGAGGTTTTTAACTCCAAATCTTGTGAAAGCTTCAATCTCCCAATCTAAATTTTCTGATTTTTTGATTTTTTTTTAAAAAAATCTTAACATTTATTAACTTCTCCCAACTCCCAAGTCTTACCCTCATAATAACACTTTAATGCATTAAAAACAAGCATAAAAAAAATTCTTTGAAATACAACACATGAATTCCTTGAAAAGTCCCAACACATATCACTACAAGAAAAATCACCTTAAAGGTCCATTTTTAGTCGCCAAAAGTCACCTTTTTACCTTCCCCGACTAAATTTTTTAGTCGTCGATTTTGTCACGAATAAACGGTCGCAGAAGGTTTTGGCGATTAAAAAGGTTTTAGTCAGCAAAAAGGCAGGTCACCAATACTCAATTCCACTGTTTAAAATTATACATTTGGCGACTAATCTTTTAGTCGCCAATAGTTGATGGAACGCCGGCCAAACTGTTTAGTCGCCAAAACAAATACTTTTGGCGACTAAATCTGTTTTTAGTCGCCAATAACTATACATTTGGCTACTAAACTCTTTTAGTCGCCAAAAGTCTTCACTTGACTTTTGGCTACTAATTCCATTTTAGTCGCCAATTGTGCTACTTTCAGCGACAAAAATTTGGTTTTTAGTCGCCAAAACTGCTTTTCCTTAACACTTTCATGCATTAAGAACAAACATAAAAAAAATTTGGTGAAAAATCCAACACATATGATTATTATCAAAATATTAAACTTTAATATAATATAAAAAAAGAAAAAAATAAGACATTAAAAAAAATTAAAAATCACAATTCACATATATAGATAATTATAAACACAATCCGTGCATAGCACGGGTAATATGCTAGTATTATATAAGGAAAATGGAGTTTTTAACCCACAAGCCTTGTGGGAGCTCCAATATCCCAATCCTAATTTTTAAATTTTTTGATTTAAAAAAAAAAAAAAACTCAGCATTTTCCTTTATTAATTTCTCCCAATTCCCATGCCTTTTGGGAGATTTGGTCAAAACCCCCTCATAATTAAACTTTAATGCATTAAACACCAGCATAAACAAAATTCTTTGAAAATTTCAACACATCTATCTATCTATATTATATTATCTATATCTATATCTATATCTACATCTATCTATCTATATCTATATATATCTATACTATATATTAAGTAAAAGGGGGTTTTAACCCCCAAAGCCTGTGGAAGTTTCAATATCCCAGTCTGAATTTTTTTAATTTTTTATTTAAAAAAAAAACTCAAAATTTATTGATTTGATCAAAATCCTCTGATCAGCATTTATTAACTTTTTCCAATCCACATGTCTTTCCACATGCCTGTATTTATTGATTTGGTCAAAATCCCCTGATCAACATTTAAAATTAAAAAAAACTTAACATTTATTGATTTGGTCAAAACCCTCTGATTAGCATTTATTAACTTTTTCCAATCCACATGTCTTTCCACATCCATGTATTTATTGATTTGGTCAAAATCCCCTGATCAACATTCAAAATCCCCCATACAAATAATTATAGATACAATCCGTATATAATTACTGCAGTACCCTTTTCAACTTCTCTCATACACTATGGTTAGTGATAAGATTAAGATTGTTAAATTATTTTTATAAAAAATCTTAAAAAACATAATTTATATATTAAAAAAAATCTAAAACAAATATAAATATTTATAATTATCCCGTGCATTGCACGGGTAATGGGCTAGTTGTGTATATACGAGAGAGAGAGAGAGAGAGAGAGAGATTACTTCCGCATTTAAAGTTGTGAGGGACAGTCCTCCCACAACCTTCAATCTTCTTGATGGCGCGTTCAACTCCAATGATGGCAGCTAACTTTGGAGTAACATAGGGGCAAACACACTCAACAGGAATATCCCTAACTATACTGCAACAATCAGCTGATGGGTTCTGCCCAAATATCACTGGCCTACACAAGCTTGTCAGCTGCTGCCTCTGCTGCTTGCACTGGCTAGGACTGGTGGCACCACTCACAACTGGAACCTCCCAAACGCTCACCACCACTACCACCACCAACACTAGTACCCAAACACATGAACTCACCTTCCTCATCATCTTCTCTCTCTCTCTCTCTCTCTCTCTCGGTTAGTGTATATTGCTTTTGTTGTTTTTGAGAAACACCAATCCATGTGTTTATATAGAGTGGGTGGGTGGTGGGGTAGGGGGGAGCTGGCATGTTTAGATTTTCCATGGTTGCATAGACTATTTTGTGCATGTCTTGGTCATGGACCAAAAGGTCTACACCAACCTCTGAAGTGTTCAAACTAGGGGAAAAATAAAAATAAAAGTTTAGTGTAATGGGGAAGATCTAAATTTGGTTTAATTTGGAAAGATTTACATAATAAGTAAGGCTAGCTATTAGCAGAAAATTACAACTTAGACAATCATAATCTAACTAATATATAAACCCAACAAAAGTCTCACAATTAAAGAAGAAATTATCAATATTTACATTTAGTAAAGATTGATCCTAACCTTGTTGATGGAAGTTTATAAGGGTAACCAACCGAGTTAGCCCAATTGATTTATTTGTATTATTAGACTTACTGCATTATTTTTGGTATTTATTCAATAGTGATGGGTTATTATGGCCTATTTTGAAAAGTGATTTCTTTTTGGCTCAATATTTTTTTTGAAAAAACGTACAAAAAAAAAATAGAGAGGTGATATGATTCAAATAAGTCAATAAATTGACTTTTTTCCTAGTTAGCATTGTCTACATGATGCTTCCATCTAATGGGATAATGTTGACTTACCTTTGTTACATAGTTGAGAGACAAGTGTATTTTGCAATAGTAATACTATAAACCTATAAAAAATACTCAAAGAAAGTATTAAGAAAAACACATCTATGAATCACAATCATTCTAGATGAGGCTGCATCACACCAATTTTTAAAAAATGGATAACAATTGTGTTTTTAAAAGTAGACCATTTATTTTTTTTTAAGTAACAAACACGATAAATTGAATAGGTTATAATTATCGAATCGATCTATTTTATTTTATTTTTTTGTAAATGATATATACAAAGTACCTTATAAAATGAACAATTCGAATTATTAAAATAGAATCTATGATGTGCCCTATAAACCAAAAATGTGCTCTCCAATTCAGGTTATGAACTGGAGGGAATTTACATCCCTAAATAATTTGTCATACATAATGACGAAGCAGTTTATAAAAAAAATAATTTTCAATCCCGAGCAGTAGTCAAGATGGGAAATGAATCAGGATTATGTGTAATAAGTCTCATTTTTTACTTGTGATACTACATCTCTTTACTTTCTTCATTTTTCTATGGGCAAATTAGGTTGGTAGTTTTAGCCTTTGTTTTTTTATATCGTTTTAGTTCATATAATTTTAATTAATTTAATTTTAAATTTTATATCATTTTAGTTCATTTAAAAACAAATATGTTATAGTTTTGGACGAAAATATACATGTGAATTGCACATGACCACTTTTTCTATTGACTCCAGCACCACAATCACAATCACAAGCAAACACCATTATCTCTTGCCCTCCTTTCCATTCGCCACCATAAATGCGGCCACCTTCCAGCCACACAAACAATCACTCCTACTAGTATTCTCGACCCACGCAAACAAGCACCCCCAAAGTCAATTTCCTTGGTTTTTTAATTTTTTTAAGTCATATTACTTTTTAATTTTTTTATATATATTTTTAAAATAAATTTAAAAATCAATTTTTAACTTACTTTTCAAAATAGGTAAAGAATTGCTAACTTGATTTTTCCTCTTTTTTTTCATAGAGAAAAGTATATTAGAAAAGTACCAAAATAAAAATTAGTATTTTTCAAGCTCACAGGAAAGAAAAAACAGAAGACAAAGTCAAAGATTACAATATAAATAGATTAAGGGATTAAGTTTTTGTTTTATTTTTTATTTTTTTATCGGTTAAAGTTAATAATTAACTGTTAGGTTAGAACCGTAGGAGAATTAAAGCAAGTGCTTAAATTTTACCCCTATTCTACTCTTAAATAGTGGAACTAAAAACCTCCATTTAAGAGAGATTTGATAGCCAAAGAGCTAGCCACACAGGCTAGACCTCCCCTTAAGTTACACATGAATTGCTCTGCTGGTTTAGTTTCTATCTTTGTCTCATCAAATTGCTCTTGGATGCCCTTTTGTTGTGATTGTGGCTTTTGATTCTCCTTTTGTGTTGTGATTTCTTTTGGGTATATTGCTTTATCTTTCTTGGCACTATTGAGTGATTTGTACTACGTTGAAAAAGGGTTTCCTTATCAACTCTAAGCCGGTCACTAGATGACTATCAAAAGAAGAAAAAGGCAAAGGTATTGCAATGGATGAAGACCTTAATCATGACGATTGGAGATGTCCATTGCCACCTGATATGTTTTCTTGTTTAGACCCACTTGAAGTAGCTCTAATCAAGGATACTCTTGATGAGGATTTTAATTTTGATTGGGACTCAGCTTTGCGGAATCTTAAAAACAGAGATTTAGATGGTTTAGATGTCAATATATTTAATTATACTGGCATTTTTATTATTTTTTTGCTTTTTTTTTGGTTACTAAAAACTTGTTTGGTTGTTTAAGATTATAAATTTGATTACTTTAAAACAAGATTTTTAATTAATTAATTAATATGCATCTGATTTTGTTGTTGAGCCCAAAAAAATAAAAAAATAAAAGCGAATAAAAAAAGAGGTCAAGTTGAGTTGGGGAAAATCCAAACCCATTAGGGGATGGGGAGGATAGTCCCCATGGATGATGGGAAATGGAGAACAGAGAAAAATTATAATAGGAAAATGGGGATGAGGAATTAATATTGGCCCAATTACCCTTTGTTGCCATCCCTACTTTCAGTTTGAACCTTAACAACTGACAAGCTCTGTGGGTGTATGAACCGAAATACATCAATATCTTTTAGATTTTGACATAAGTTACGATCAATGAGGAGGAAGCTCTTGCCCAACCTCACTTTTTCCTTATGCGTGCCATCCATTTTAAACTTAACACCATTTGATGTACCCCCTCCAAACCCACTGCCAATCGATGTACCCCCTCCAATCTCGCTGCCACTCGATATACCCCCTCCAATCCCGCTACCACTCGGGATATCTCCTCCAATCTTACTACTACTATTACTACTACTACTACTACTACTACTACTACCACCACCACCATTGAACAGATCTTGGTTTCATGATGAGAATCCCTTATCATAATCAACCCCAAAATGTGTAGACCAAGGCATTGATGTGCTTTGCTTTGGGGGAATGACATAATCAAATATAATGACATCTAAACCATCTAAATCTCTGTTTTTAAGATTCCATAAAGTTGAGTCCTAGTCAAAATTAAAATCCTCATTAGAAATATCCTTGGTTAGATCTACTTCAAGTGGGTCTAAATGAGAAAATATATCAGGTGGCAATGGACGTCTCCAATTGTCATGATTAAGGTCTTCATCCATTGCAATACCTTTGTATTTTCCCCAAAGGGGCAATTACAAGTGTGGGTGTTGATTTTTGACCACACAACCAAACGGGAAACTCAACTAGAGAGCACCGGCAGAATAGATTAAGCCCGAACACCTGCCAACAAGAATATGAGAATACCACGGTGGTTCGTCCACTCAGGGGCACTCTGACAATCAAGTCAATAATCTTATCTCTCACAGATATCAATACTAGTACTTAAACTTCAACAATGAAAGCATAAAAACATCTCAAATAAAGCATCCCTTAGACCCACGAGAGTGCCTTACTTTTATAATGATCATTGTTTAACTTCCCCTAAAATGGGACTCTATCCTTTACAAGGATAACATTTATCACAACTCACACTTTTCAGATTAAGATGCACTCCTTCAAGAGTCTCATCTCTATCCAAATTATTAGCTTAATGTCATCTAGGACTTTAGTTCTCTATCTAAATATCTCGAATTCCGATATTATCGCACCATATCTCGGCACCATAGTCTGCCCGCGTGGTACCTCAGCTAACAATCTCGACCACGTGGACTATCTAAAAATATGTCCCCACAACTGCCCCCTAGGTTCTATTACCTCGGCAAGCTGAGGTGATGGAACCTATACATGTACTTCCCCGACCGAGATCGTGACTCGTTGGCACCAAGAAGCAAGGATCCAAATGTCCACTCGTCAAGAATCAAGAACCATGAACCATGAACCATCATGTTTCATTTCATCTAAGTCCAACATCTCGATAGAGATCGCATTACTAGCATAGATCATGACTTGCTAGTTCAAGAACATCAAGATGCTAGTATCAACTCATCAGAAACCAAGAATAAACAAGTTCTGTCCCTATTCAAATTCAACATCTTAACCAAGATCAACATCTCAACTGAAATCATCATGTTAACCAAGATCACCATCTCAACCGAGATCAATATCTCAACTGAGATCGCACTTCTCAATCAAAATCATCATGAGATTGGAGCGTACCAATCACGTCTCCATCATGTCGCATCAGTTCTACCCCCGCCGTCTGACATCAGCACGAGAACGTCAGGACTGGAAATCATAACTTTTTTTCCATATTTTTCTAATTCCAGCAAAACCATTTCATCTTCCTATTTCGTCTCTATCTATATCCCTAGACTCTCTTTCTCTTGGCCTCTTCAAACCATCATCACTATTCTTGAAGCATTCGTTACTATGAAGACTCCCTTTGTGCCCAAGGTTCAAACTCTACCAGCTGAACTAGACTAACAACCAAACAATTCATCAGCTACTCCACACATCAACCCACCATCTCAATGGCAGTGAAAACACCAAGATAGTGACAATCTTGCAGCTAGAACCAGGAACAGGAAACACCGAGGTCCTAAGCTCCCAGCCTTAGACCTTGATAATTTTTCAATCACCTTATCTGTGAGTAACCATCACCGGAACCAACGACGACATGTCTCGCCGAACTCTTGTCGTAGAAGACCTTCTTGTTGACATCCCAGATGTCATAACTGTGCAATCCACTCTATCTCCTTATAGTCAATCCAACATGCTCATGCCTCCAGCAACTTAATATCTCGAAAAAGAAGCACATGAAGCAAGTGGACTAAGTTACTGCTGCCAAAGCCGAGGCCATTGCTAAGGTCGAAAAAACA